GTATATGCGCCGTCTCTTCGGAGGGTACCCTTGCGATCGCCCAGCCCCACTGTCTAGACGGCCTAGGCAGTTACGGGCATGATAAACAAATCAAATCAAAATTAATAATAACACAGGGCATGAAAAAGGATGTTACCAGAGCGTCCAGTAAGTGGTAATCGAGATTGTTCAACACCGAAGACATGAAAAGCGAGACGAGCTGAGTGGCACATTGCTGCTTGCATCAGTGTCGGCTGAGCTTGCAACCATCGAGCAAGCTGGATCAGTGATTTCGCTAGCAGATAATGCTCAGTGGTCTTCGTCGATGTCGCCGATCCAGGATTCTAAAATGGTAGTCGTATTCGTGAAAAAAAAAACTACTATAAGAGCACATTTTTCAAATAAAACGCAAAATTTTGCTACAGTGCGATTTGTGATAGTTTCCTCATCAGTGATAATTGGTTTGAATGTTTAGGGCAATGAAGCAAATTAGAAAAGTGTTAAAGCTTTGCAGAGACTTTAAATACCAATACTAAATACTGATAGTAATTGACGAGGGATCGTAGCATCAGGGTAGAAGGATTGAAGGATGCAAGTGGGAGGGTGGAGGGGGGATGGCACAGCACGACACAGCTGCGAATGAAATATCCGGGGAAGCTAGAAGAAAAGCAAAATGTGCTCAGTTAAAACTAGTGCTGATGAAAAATGCCTAATTATTGTCTATCATACTGTAGTTGCCAGGCTCCGATATAATATGATGAGGAATACAAGGCAACAACCCATCTGTTGTGAAAACCCTTAAAAAGTTGGTAAAACAAAGGAGGCTAGGCATCACGGGGTGCATGCATGCGGGTGTCACGCACACGAATTCAAAAGTTCTCGTTGTCAATTCTGAAGCATTAGGGTCGGCAGTGTAATGGCAAATATGCCACGATTCGATGGAATTGAAAAAATGAAAATGAGAAATTCCACTCCTTCCCGACCCGTTTCCGTTGTAAAAAGAAGTGGAAAAGGTAAGAATTCTGGGAAAAGGAAGGGAACAATATGCTGGAGAATTACTTCACTCGCTCCATTTCACTTTACTTCATTCGCTCACCACTGCCGGCCAACAGACCACCTTCAGTCGTTAGAGTCCGGAGACCCTTCTACATCTATGATACGCAACCAGGGTTCTATTGCTGGGCAATTTTGCTATCGTATACCGCATAGGGGAATTACAAGTTGAACAGCTGCCAATGTTAGGGTATTGACAAAGCAAACTACATTCTTTTGAAAAGTATGAAACAATGGAAAAAAACAAAGGGAAAGTTTTACTTCAGTGGTAATTTGGTTGAGCTGAGCGGCCATTACGGAGATCAGGGCATCCGGAGGCACCGTTGGTGCGCCATTGAACATCACGTTACTTTTGTAAAGCAGTCGATCCATTTCATTAGCGACAGCGCTCAACAACAACGAAAATGCTTTTCCCTCGGCACTGATGCGATCCTGTCTTTTCATTTTCTCTTTTGCAGCCCACATCTGGAGCAATGAATTACAGCAATTTCAGGACATGCCTTTTTATTTTTGCTAAATTCAAATTAACATCAAAAGTTAATAATTGGCCAACGCACAGGCTGCCCGCGCGAAGATGCGTTTTTTGCATAACT